ATGCCCATGGGGACGTGGGAGGCTGTAGGGCTGGGGGGAGGCCCATGAGGCTGTAGGGATGGGGGTGGGGTGGGGTGGGGTGAGGGAATATGAGCCAGTTGCGGGGATGGTGGCATTGGAGGAAGGACAGCGTGGAGCATGGGGGCTTTAGGCATAGGAGGGAGGTCCTGTGTAATAAGCTGATAGACCCTAGGGAGACAGAGGGGGGGTCACCAGGACCTGGGCTTGGAGGGGAGCCTGGGACCTGTTAGGGAAGGGGAGGGGGTGGGGTGGGGTGGGGTGAGGGAATATGAGCCAGTTGCGGGGATGGTGGCATTGGAGGAAGGACAGCGTGGAGCATGGGGGCTTTAGGCATAGGAGGGAGGTCCTGTGTAATAAGCTGATAGACCCTAGGGAGACAGAGGGGGGGTCACCAGGACCTGGGCTTGGAGGGGAGCCTGGGACCTGTTAGGGAAGGGGAGGAAGGGAATTGAGGACTTGGGGCAGGAGCTAGGGCTATTGGGCAGCTCCTGCAAAGACCCAGTTAATAGTTAAGCTTTGGGGAAAACAGTGTGGAGGATTGAGGTGTGCTCAGAAATAATCTGCACCTGTGTGATACAAGGAAGACTTACAAATGACTTTGAAAACTTTAAAATTCTGTTGTAACCAATTTCTGTCTCCATGTCAGTGACCCCAGAAATGAAATGATTAAACCCAAAGAGGGTTTAATGCTCTCTTTACCTTTCCCCATCCTCAATATGTAATTGTTTTCTATATTTTTCTTAGTGCGGACAATGGAATTAGAAAGCAACAAAATCACTTTCACTTTGGTTGTATTCAGTCTGGGCTCCAGTGTCTTAGGGATGCAACTTTGGAGAGGGCAAACATTTGCAAGGGGAATGTTTTGTTTTTTTTTAAAGCTGCTGTTTAGTCTGGTAGTTTCTTGAACCAAATTAATAGAAACGTGTCATTGGATTTAGAGCTAGTAAATTTGTTTTTCCTAAAATCTAATTTTGGGGTCAAATTTATTATTATTTGCTTCCTGTACAACTCACAAAGCTTGTCCAAAGAAGAAAGAAGTTGTGTTCCCTGCTTTTAGGACCTCCCAGGCCTAGTCCTCACCCATTGCAGAGGGTCCAGCGGAGGGCAACCAAAATGATTAGGGGGTAAAGCACGTGACCTCCAAGGAGAGGCTGAGGGATTTGGGCTCATTTAGTCTGCAGAAAAGAGTGAGGGGGGATTTGATAACAGCCTTCAACTTCCTGAAGGAAAGTTCCAAAGAGGACAGAGAGGGGCTGTTCTCAGTAGTGACAGATGGCAGAATGAGGAGCAATGGCAGTTACAGTGGGGGAGGTCTAAGTTGGATATTAGGAAAAACTGTCACTAGGAGGGTGGAGAAGCCCTGAGATGGGTTCCCTAGGGAGTTGGTGGCATCTCAATCCCTAGAGGTCTTAAGTCCCAGCTTGACAAAGTCCTGACTGGGATGGTTTAATTGGGGTTGGTCCTGCTTTGGGCAGGGGGCTGGACCTGACCTCCTGAGATCTCTTCCGGCCCTAGGATTCTATGATTAAAAACTGGGTCAACCTAGTTATGTCATTCAAAGCAGATACCTCTCCCCTTCTACTGCACTCATCACCTTAGTGTTAGAGCACCTTCTAGTAGCTGCATAATGGCATGGCTAATATGTCACATGTGGTTCCTCCTCTCTCATCCTGTTAACTGGAAAATTGTATGTGCAGTGGAATGTTTTGGTAGTTTGTTTTTTTTAGAAAATATTCTTGCTGTTCTGTGTGTATGTATGAGAGGGCAAGTCAAAGAGGTGTCCCTTAATTTGGAGTGGAAGGTGGTGAGATTTGGGATTGTCCTTAGTTTGTGTGGGCGTTTGTTTCACTATCCAGGACTAGAGATGTAAGTGATTAGTTGACTATTTTGCAGGGCTTGCCGAGCCGTGGCGAGCCCCGCTCGCCCCCCGCGCTGTCCAGCGATCTATGCATGCACAGATCGTTTTGCGCATGTGCAGATTGCCCAAACCTGGCTCTTCCGGGTTGTAATCTACTTGCCATGGGCGAGTAGATTACATAGTTTGTCGAGCCCTGCTGATAAACATAAACTTATAATAAGCCTGCTGGCTCTTAATACATTTAAAAGGCAGAGCTGTAGTGAGGTTAGCTCTCGGGGCTGGGAGCTAATCCTGCTGCGGCTCCCCCGCTTATCGACTAATTGTCTAGTTGATGGAATTCTATCGAGTAGTCAATTAATTGATTAAACTAAATTTAACATCCCAATCCAGGACCAGCTCCCTGAGAGTCCTTTGTTGCTTGCATTGTAAGAGTTAATTTGTGCAGGGGAGTGGATGTTTAAGTTCTGGTAAACTTCTTTAGTACAAGTAATAATAATAATAGGTGATCTTTTTCAATGTCCTGGGCCCAGGCCTTTGCATGCCTCGAAGATAGTATTGAGACCCTGAATGGGAAGGTTGAGAGCCACGGCTATAAAACATCAAGTCACAAACTACTGTGCCTCTTGGGTGGTGGGTATACTAGGCTAGGGAAGGCATTGCCTTCCCTGGTGTTGCCACCAACCTGCTGCTGGACAGCTGGGATTTGTTGCATCCCCTTCCCTGGAATGCCACAGTCTCCTCCACTCCATACCCTACCCCGAAGGTCCCCACTGCTCACTGCATCTCTCCTCCTGAGGATTGGGGAGTGAAGAATGACACAGAGCCAGCAGCTGGCGGACTGTGGAGTTTGCCCAGGCTCTGCTGGGGCTGGCAGCAATGTGCCTTTTAACTTTTTCCAACCCTGTACAGAATACATTTTGTCATGTGCACCAAGGCATGCTCTGATGTGCATCACCAGTAGCAACAGATACTGCTGTCTCTGGGCGTTCAGCTAATCAGCTGGGCTGCATTTGAACCTTTCTTGGGGTGGCTGCCTAAACACTCAGCTTACAGGGAATGCTGGCCTGGGAGAGGGGGCAGGGTCTTCAGAGTCAGAGGAGCTGGCACTCAAAGAAGCTGCCTTTGCTGGCTTGGCTTGGTGCTTGCGGGGGCCAGGAGCTTGGCTTGGCACTGGGGCTGGCCTGACACTCTGGGAGGCTGCCAGCTCAGGCAGGTGCTGGGGCTGGCCTGGTATTCAGAGTCCAGGAGAGTAGAGGCTCCGTCTAGTGCTAGGGGTGCTGCTGGGTTGCGGGGCCAGCAGTGGTGGCTTGACCTGATGTGGCTGGGGTAGGTGGAGTCCCTCTTCTGTCCAGGGTAGTCTCTCAGGGCTTTTCCTCTTATTCTGGAGGAGAGGATGAGTTCAGAGTGGAGGCAGGGCCTTAGGTGGAAAGGTGTGGTCAGCAGCCTTGCCTTCCCAAAGTGAGTCTTCATCCAGGTGTATCCCTTTCAGGAGTCTGATTTGTCATGCGTGCCCCAAGTTTCACCTCCCTTAAATATTACTTGCTTACAAAATCAGAGAGAAAATTACCAAAGTGTCATAGCACGCTATTCCATTTTTACAATATCATTATAAAATAAAATTTGAAATATAAATACTGTACTTATATTTCAGTGCATAGTATATAGGCAAGTATAAATAAGTCGTATGCAGTTTTAGTTTGTACTGACTTTGCTAGTACTTTTTATGTAGCTTCTTGTAAAACTAAGCAAATATTTAGATGAGTTGATGTGCCTCTTGGAAGACCTCTGTGAACTCCCAGGTTATGCCTAATCCTGGTTGAGACATAGGGTATGTCTACACTGCATATTTTTTTTTTTTTTTTTTGAAAATCGGACATCCATGTTGCAATCATGTTCTTTCGGGGAAAAAAAATACAAGGAACAGAGGTTTTTTCCGACATTGGTAAACTTCTTTCTACAAGGAAGAAGCCTTTTTCCGAAAGAGCTTTTTTGGAAAAAAGTGTGTGTGGATGGGGAAGAGGGACTTTTTTCGAAAGAAGAGGAAAGAAGAAAAAGCACAGGTGCCCTGGTGGCCACTCCGTCCATAGTAATCACAGCTGAAATGTGAGACAGTGTCCACGCTAAATGGACGCTACCTTTTGAAAAAGCAGATTGCTTTTGCTATGCGCTTTTGCTGTGTAGACGCTCTCTTTCAGAAGAAGTTTTTTCAGGAGATCTCTTCTGGAAAAACTTTTTTTGAAAGAAGCCTGCAGTCTATACATAGCCTTAGTGTTGTACAGGGTGCCTCTGTAGAGGGCAAGTACAGGTGTTAGGATACTGTGAGTTCATGTGTTGCTGAGGAAATATGCAGTAGCATTCTGAGTTTCAGACCCTTCCCAAAAAGTTGATATCTCTTAAAGACGAATGCTTATTTGTAGACTTAGAAAAATGAAATTCTGCCATCATTTCAACAATCAATATCAGTTTTATATTTAACTTTTTTCTATTTTTATCAATTTAAATTTTCAGTTGTGTGACCTTGTGGGAGCTGAGACAACAGGGGCAGACAATAATTATTTAACCACAATAGATATTGAGATTGAAAAAGTTAAATTTTATAACCATGAGAACACTCACTGTTAATATATCAAAATATACAAAGTAAATGTCCTTTGATCAAACTCCTGTAAATTCTCAAGCAGCATTTTTCTTACTGTAAATTTTGATTATTGTGTACGCGATTACAGCCATGTTTAATCCTTTGAAGAATAATGAGCCCTGCTCAGTTCTTGTGGAAGAAGTAGACTTTAAGGAGGGATTTAAGTGAGAGAGTACTGGCTTTGTGGACCAGCTCTGACTGCAGAGCAGATGGTAGGATGTAATCCTGTAAATTCTCAAGCAGCATTTTTCTTACTGTAAATTTTGATTATTGTGTACGCGATTACAGCCATGTTTAATCCTTTGAAGAATAATGAGCCCTGCTCAGTTCTTGTGGAAGAAGTAGACTTTAAGGAGGGATTTAAGTGAGAGAGTACTGGCTTTGTGGACCAGCTCTGACTGCAGAGCAGATGGTAGGATGTAAAGGATT